TATTGTATAAGATAATACTATCTAATATTTGGTAATACACTGTATAATACTAATTAGGATAAAAATAAATATTTTTGACAAAAATACTCTTTAATAAAAAAAATTATATAATTCTTTCAAATATATCATATAATATTAATTTCTATAAAAATTTATTGATTCCAAAAAAAAATTATAGAAATAAAAATCTTCAACTTTCTCTAACTCATAATGATAATCTGTGTAGGGTGCACTTGAACTTGAATTTCCAAAAAATATTGGAATGTTCGCACATTTCAATACTTCAATTTCACTTATATGAATCAAACTTTCTGGAATTTGCTTTCAAACCAAGATTTCTTGATCTTACCCTCAAATGATTGTCAATTTGCTTACACACTAGAGTGACCTACAATTTGGCAATACATAACCTATTAATATTCTGATGACCAACTTCTGCATACTAAGATGCCACTATTTAAAAGAAATCATTATACTTCCCGTGCATGAGGATTCATTACTCCTAATCTTTGTATATACTCAGTACTAGTGAGATATAACACATGGAACTGATTCGAGACCGAATATTGTGATGATCATAGAGAGAGTAACCATAACTACAGATTCCTGCTTCCCATCGTGCTCCTGCACTGCTCCAAATAGTATCTCCTTGGTTTTTTCATTGCTTTGCTCATAATAAGGGGCTCATCTTCATGTGAAACCACAATACTTTCTTGCACAAACAGGCCAAGCATTTACTTGCTTTTGAGGTTGCTGGAACTGCAGTTTACTCAAAATTTTGCTGAAACCACAATATTTAGGTTGCTGGAACTGCCAATCTTTAGCACCAATAAAATCCACCAAAAAGTTAAAAATTACAAATCCGAAGATAAATCCAAGTATGCAACGGCAATTGAATGTAAAATTTCAACCCCTATGTAATACGTATGCTACTGCAGAGGCCAGTGAATGAAGTTTATTTGTAAATGTGATAAATTGCGCCTAAATATAAGCATGTGATTACTCAACCCATGTCCTCCTCGATAATGGAATTATACTATACTTTTTTTGAAATAAAATAAAAAATACCTTTATTTATTTATTTATTGCATTCATTACTTTAATCATCATGTTTCTTTTGAATTTGATTTATGATATAAGGTTTGTGGATTGGTCTGATTTGTGGACAGGTGTGTCAAACTGGGGCTCTCTTAATTTTGACAAGGCGTGCCAAATGGACTAGAGTGAATCTCTCCAGGGATAAAGATGAAGTCCAACCACTTCTTATTTAACTGATTGCCTGTTAAAAATGGGTCAATAAATATTGGTGCTTATATTCATTATAATAAGAGTAGATTGATTCTACAATTCCTAAAGTATATGGGTTCATAGATGAAGAAAATTAATGAAGATTGGTATTTGATAGGCAAGTGAGGAAAATGCATTCAAATCAATAATCACATAGCAGAAACAGATTTGAGACGCTGAACAGAGAAATGAATTATCTCACTTCAGAAAATCAATACAAGTGAAGTGTTCATAAATTATATTATAAATTGGAAAGCAAAATAAAATTATGTAGATGTTAACTTTTCTGTTGATGGAAAATAATGGGTGTGAAAATAAAGTTTAAAATAAAATAAATATGACCATTTAAAAAGTGACAGATATCCATGCACAAAACCAAATTTTATTTGACTTTGAAAAGAGATAATGGAAATGGGGTATGGCTGCAAGAGATTAACGTGGCTTTCATGGAATGATTGTTGAGATATATAGTCCCACATTGGTTGTATGTGCAACTAATGTGGAATTTATAAGGCCTTAGGCACTCCCACCCTTTGAGCTAGCTTTTGAAGTGGTGTATCTCAAGGTTCTTTACATGGTATCAGAGCTTGAGGTTCGATCCTCACCGCCCCCCACTTTAAAGTGGAAGCACAAAAAGATAAACCAAAGATTGGGCCTGTTGCATAATCCACTCTTCAAGCCCAATGGGCTCTCGTGTGAGGGGGCGTGTTGAGATATTTAGTCTCATATTGGTTGTATGTGCAACTAATGTGGAGTTTATAAGGTCTTGGGCACTCTCACCCTTTGAGCTAGCTTTTGGGGTGGTGTATCTCAAGGTTCTTTACAAAGATGTTTGGGACTCTTCCACACCACACGTCATTTTTTGAGTGGGTAAAATGCTCCACATGGTATTGAGATATCTAGTGTTGAGATAGAGCCATATATGTAACCCAACCCAACCACAATTCACAATCAACAATGTTCTCTTCCAGACCACAATAACTGTGATGGCTATTTCCTATTCTGCAGATTGGTCTCTAGCTTACACTAAATGTTGCAGAAGAAACCATGTCCATGCACTCATCCCCACATGCCACTTCCCTTCCTTGTACACTGTTTCAGGCTCCATTCCACGGTTTTTACATGTTAATTTCTCAGCCTCTCACACACCCATCTTAGAAGAAGCATCTTCCAACACCCCCATGTTCCATGTAGATATTAACTTTGCTGCTGATGCTCAACAATGTTCCAAGCCAGGAACTGAGAATTTGAACGAGTTTTTATGTGGGTTATTTGAGGATCCAAAAACTGAGGAACTGGCATTTGACTACTATCAAAGATTGAAAGAAAGACCAGAGTTTAGACCACAGAAATCAACTTTGAGGCTTTCTCCTCTGTTCTCTTGTTTAATGACAAAAGATATAAATCTAAATAAAGAACAGATGCTGCCTTGCACAAACAATAAATATTTAGTATATAAACACAGAAAACATTAAAAAATCAGTAAATCCGGTCTATTAGTACCAAGAAATTTCACCAGGCTATTTGGCAAGAGTATAACATGAGACATAAAAGAGGAATTGAAACAAGTATGTGGTACACAGAAGACTGAAGTAAGGTCCGTCAAAATTTTATCATTAATGGAATCTATCAAGACACTGATAACTACCCAAAAAAAAAAAAAAAGAGTCTTGCATGACCAATACACATTGGTCAATCAATCATCAAGAGCAATAGAGGTCGAACAAGCAAGATCTTGTTGGGAAACCATCTCTCTAAAAGAAGAAAAATATCTCATTACCTATTAAATCATACTTGTAAGAATAGTAGGCAGGGATCAAATATCAAACATTTTGTGATCAAATAAAAACAGTTTATTTGATCCCATCAACTATTTAGGTATATATAAATGCCCCATTACAATTTTGCAACTGTCTCTACAGTAAATTTTGTTCTGAAACTATAATTTGAATCCATGACACAAAGTCAGGTCTCTTATACCTTCTCTAGGTCTGATATTTCAAACCGGGGCAATCCCAATCCATCCAAAGCTTTCAGAAATGTTTTAACATTCTCTGATTGTGATGGCAGAGTATGACCATCTTCATTAATCTAACAAAGAGAATCCAGACTGAAAGGCATATCTAAAATCAAGTTGTCAATTAATAGTTTGAGCTAATTAAAAGGTTAAAAAGTGTTACCACATTCACGAAACCAGGTCGTAGCTTGTTCAGTATCTGGCACAAAACTGTGCCGTTGCTCGAGCACGTTCTTAAGTCATCATCCGTGATATTTATTGGAAAGTACAATGAAGGAAGAAGAGTAGTTAACCACTGAACCAAAAGTAATCGATGTTTGGCTGAAAATATTCAAATAGAAAGATATCATCATCACATGAATGAACACATATAACATGCAAATTTCTAAGAGGTCAATACCTTCCACCTCACCATGAATGGATACTAAATACCCATTTTTATTAATTCCATTGAAAATTTTGTAATGAACTATTCTTTTTCTTTACTTCATTTTGTAATGATGCAAAACAATATTTGTTTTCTTCTGTCTTTACTTCCTTTTCGACCTGCAAAGTTAAATCATAATTAGCAAGTAATATATTTAAACATTGTTTGTCAGTGTGATCTATTCATTCAACTTGATTATATAATACATATTACTAACTTGCTATGCATATATCAATCTGGGCTATATAAGTAATTTTCATTCTTAGTCTACTTATTTGTGCACATGCATGCCTGCACTATAAGGTTATCTTTCAACTAGGTTGTCTTATAAGCATAATGTGCTTGCAAATTTGCACCAGATTCATTTTCAAAATGGATTATATTATTTAATCTTTGGCTTGTACTCAAACTTATTGGAATCTTATAAAGCTTTTCGAGAACAAAATAATTTCTGCTTTAGCAATATGCTAAGGATGTAACAATTGCCTATTGGGAAGATATGGGTTGATATTGGGTACTCTGGACTCCCTCCCCTGAACTTCCATGCAAGTGAGGGAGCATTCTCTCCTTTCCTTTTATACTCTCATTCACTAATAAATACATCATGATTTTTTATCAAATACAAACATTTTGTGATCAAATACAAAGCCATGTCAATACAGCCAGAAATAATCTCCATATCAATATCAAACATCAAGGGATCAAATAACAGCAAAAGGCTTTTTCCACTAGGCAGGGTCGAAACCCAAATCTTTAGAAAGGTCATCGTTGTTGTAACAGCATTGCTATGAATTTTTAACTAAATGCAATGTAGAAACATAATGAATACAGTAGGCTCCAGCAATTGTATCTGACATTTTGTGAAGGACTCCTTCAACAATCCACTTTGGTTAACTGTGCAATAATTTTGGTTCTAGTGGTGAAAACCAAGAAAAAAGCAACTTTGTACAAAGCACATATCGCACAATTAAAAAAAAGAGAGTAAAGAAACAGCAACACTAACTTTAGAAGCATACGTACTAATTATCTATGCATTCTTCAGCGACAAAGTCAAAAGATTTGGCTATCTTAAGATTCGCAGGACACCATTCTCTGACGCAACAACTGAAATATTTCAAAACAAAAAAGAAATCCTAATCACTCAAATTCAGTTTTTAAAAAAGTTGTTAGGATTCTTGAGAAAGTCATAAGGGCAAATTGTTGGAAATTGACAATCACACAAAATCGACAAAACAGAAAAGAGAAAAGAGAAGAAAAATTGACACCATGATTTATCCTGGTTCACCCAATATAGGCTACGTCCAGCTTGTCTGTACTATATTCACCTCACTGCCACTCGTTACAAGTCACTCGATTTACAAGGAGAATATAAATAAGATTAGAAAAACCTAACAGCAGCTATTCATGAGCGCAAGCCCAAACTACTAAGAAAAGAAAAAATTACAATAGATCAGAGGCCTACAACAGTACCTAGCTTCTACGCCAGGGCGGCTCCCCCGGACCCCGGCCCGCTCACCTGGGAGCGTGACTCTAGTTGCCTTTCTGCTGACCCCAACAACAAAGGCCTTCATCAGCATGCGAAGTATGAGCTATACCCAACACAGATATGGACTTTCCCATCATCATTACACAAATACAAAGAGACAGACGCCAGTATGAAAAATTTAGAAACTTCATTCCTTCATCCTATGTCTTTCACAATTTATGCTTGATTTTCACGGAGCCATCAAGACTCGTTTAGCTTACGATCTGCGGGTCTCACTCGATCCCACTTTCCTGTACAAAATATGAGCCATACCCAACACAGATATGGACTTTCCCATCATCAGTACACAAATACAAAGAGACAGACGCCAGTATGAAAAATTTAGAAACTTCATTCCTTCATCCTATGTCTTTCACAATTTATGCTTGATTTTCACGGAGCCATTCCCAATACTCGTTTAGCTTATGATCTGCGGGTCTCACTCGATCCCACTTTCCTGTACAAAATATGAGCCATACCCAACACAGATATGGACTTTCCCATCATCAGTACACAAATACAAAGAGACAGACGCCAGTATGAAAAATTTAGAAACTTCATTCCTTCATCCTATGTCTTTCACAATTTATGCTTGATTTTCACGGAGCCATTCCCAATACTTGTTTAGCTTATGATCTGCGGGTCTCACTCGATCCCACTTTCCTGTACAAAATATGAACCATACCCAACACAGATATGGACTTTCCCATCATCAGTACACAAATACAAAGAGACAGACGCCAGTATGAAAAATTTAGAAACTTCATTCCTTCATCCTATGTCTTTCACAATTTATGCTTGATTTTCACGGAGCCATTCCCAATACTCGTTTAGCTTATGATCTGCGGGTCTCACTTGATCCCACTTTCCTGTACAAAATATAGCATATGCATCCGCTGCATACCTGAATGAGAGAGGTTCAGTATTATCATAGGAGGAAAAAGAGACACATAGATTTACCTAAAAAAATAAATAAATAAAAGGGCATACATGCACTCACAGAACAGAACATGACATGACATACTTGCCAACACCATGGAGTTGAGTTACATGTGTCCATCTTTCCTCCAAGTATTCCTGAGAGAACCGTTGTAACATATGTGCCCTTTTCCTTTGAAGACCTAGACTCCTTATTATCTGTTCTATTTCCTCTTTTGTGATTTGTGTACAAGATTTTGCATCTGGACATAACTTGAACAGGTCTAATATAACCCTTTTTACCTGCATTTTGCAAAATAATCTATCTTAAATCAGTACATGCATCCATATAATTTCAACTTTTACATGCCAACATATGATAATTAAATGGAAACCTCATGCAAAATAGGATGTTTTAACAAAAGCACAAATTACACTCCTGCAAATGACCACCAGTTCTAATGGCACCATCTTCACCTTAGAGAACAAGGTGGCATGGGAGATCGTGGGACTTAAATTGACTACGTGTCCTGCTTCCTAATTTACCATATTCTCAAACCATGCACCCATCCAATTGACATTACTCGAAGAATATCATAAATGAATTGACACACTTAAATATCAAATAACCAACTCGAACAAAACCTAATGAAGATTTTTTTATACTTGGTAAATATCATAAAGCATGAAACTTGGTAAATATCACAACACAAAATAGAAGGTACATCCATGTCATAATCACCACATCCACAACATGGTAAAAATATGCAGTGAAGAAATCTAATATTCACCAAAGATTTCTATGCGCAGACAATAAATATTTGTGAAAAGGTAGAATTTGTGCCATTAATTTTTTTCTCTTTTTCTTCTCCACTCTCTCTCTCTCTCTGAAAAAATAAAAAAATCAATTTAATTTTTTTATTTTCCATGTATTTATTTATTTTATTTTATTTTTATATTATATATATATAAGTATATTTTTTTCTCATTTATTATTTATTTTTCCTTAATTTGTTCTTGCTTTTAATGGATTCATTAGCTGCCAAACCCAACTAGGTTGGAATAAAGGTGATATTATTTCAATCTTTACTTGACTATTTCACTCTTGCCAATTTATGTCGTATAATATACAGACACAAGCCCTTGGCAGACAGCCATCCTATAAAATAATGTGTACATGCTTCCACAGATGATGTCAAACCAAGTATAGAAAACACAGGAGTTTTTTTTTATACGAAAAATATTTTGTTAAGAGGAAAAGAGAAGAACAACTAGCAAGAGGATGAGAAAATATCCAACAAAGAAAAGACTTCAGAGAACCAAAAAAAGCCAAGAAAAAAAGAATTAAACAAAGTATGAAGCAAGGCTTCACAATCGCAATGGAAATCCTAGATAACAGCACCCTTCAAGCATCCACGAGCAGAATATTACACAGAAACCCAAAAATATAACTCTTATCACATATCAAAATTAGCAGCAAAGAAACATCATTAAGATTCAAGTTTTCTTCTCCAACACACACCAGAAGACTGCATAAAATGTGCACTGCCATAAAATCTTAGTCCTTGTTTAACCAAAATCTTTACATCAAATCCTGAAAAGGTTGCAGCAGAGTAGCCAGCTTACTTTGCATTAATAAGTGGTCCTCTGTCTCTGTTAGAATATATCGTGTATAATGCCATCACTGTTACAGTCAGCTGAGTCTGTTATCGTTAGTCTGTTAATGATGGTTGTAGAAGTTAGTTATTAGACAGTTAGTTATGAGTTAGTTCTGTTGGTTTAGTCTAAAAATTTGAAATTCTGGTTGTTCTGAATAGAGAATGGATTCTGCGATTCTCTCAAAGCTCATTCTCTCCCTTTTCACTTTCAGTCAATTTATCTCCTTTTCTATTATGGTATCAAAGCCCTAATTTCAGCAAAGACATGACAGTTGAGATCTGAAATTTGCAACATCTAGAAAAGAGGAAGAACACTCTCAGAGTATCAACTCCGAATAAAGGTTATTGTGGATTCTCTCATGTGATCTGTCCATGGGTGATCCAATCTCATCTAGAGACCATATTAATATTATTGGGGAAGAGTTTTCAAAAGAATATAAATGCATGCATTACATCCATGATCATCAGAATGGATATCCATACAAAGCTTAGTTTCTTGCACAGGAAGCAAGAATGGAGAAGCATAGAAAGTGTACTTCGTCCAATGCAATGTCTGCGAACAGAGATCATGCACCTGCAAATAATAGATTCTCTCAAAGCTCTTTCTCTCCCTTTCAATTTCTATCAAATTCTCTTGTTTTCTATTAGCCTCTGTGCTCCACTAGAACATGACATACAAATCCGGAAAAAGAGTGAAAAATGGTCTATGAATCTGAAGAAAGTAATTTGTGTCAACCCTGTTATGTATGGATGTCTAAACAAAATACTTGACCTTAGAGAGAGCCTAGGATTTCAAATGAGTTTTTCAAGGAGGAAACTTTGAAAGTTCGAAGTATGAGTACGAAATTGAAAAAAAAAAGATTTGCAAGAGAAAACAACAGAAGAATCCCGTGTCTATATTACATAGTTTGGTTGAGAGAGAAGAATACTCAAGTAAATCCACAAGAGCTATACTCTCAATCATTGAAATCTCTAAGGAAATGAAACTCCATATGAAGAATGATTTTAAACAGAATAAGAGTATTGTGCAAATTATTAAGAGTAGATAGAGTAAAAAGCGAGGCAAAATCCTCTATAAAGTTTAAAAGGAACGCTCCCCACCCAAATGTCCTTCCAATAATAATGAAAACTATATATAGTCAACAATTAAGCAAAAGGTCCTCATTTTGTGAAAAGAGTGGTATTTATATTCTGCAATGCTCTAAAAATAATTCCCAAATATATTTTAAACTCTCCCGAAACATATCAAGAACTTGACACCTGAATGATAACCGCTGAGCTCTTGTTTCAAAGATGACAATAGAACATTGCTTTGGTAACCCACACAATAAACAGTTTAGAAACCCAAAAAAGAGATCTATAGCCTCAAGTTACAGAGCCTTTTAAAGCAGACCACAGATGAAGGACACTGCTCATGTATAACAGCTACAAATATCAGAGTGAGAAACATGCTTGTTCCTCCAAACAGTACTCATTCAAATAGAAAGATACAATAGCATGGTATATGAATGCCAAGGCCAATAGTAAAACATTGTCCCAGAATAGGGGCTAAACTGGGAAATAAATTATGCAAAGAATCAAATATCCAGATGCTATTAAATCAGTAGTGGAATACATGAATATACCTGCAAAAAGCATGCATATAACCAACACCCTCTTAGACCGCGGAGGCTTCCATGTATTATCAGGAGTTCTTCTTTGGTAAGCCTCATCCCACTTCTCATAAGTGGAAAGGGTCCTTTTAACTGTAATCGATTTTTCACGACCACTAAATTTATTTACCAACAAGCAGGGGTCTGCGTTTTCTTCTACTTTAGGCCCAAATTTTTCGCTTTACTCTTGGCCTTTTCAACCCGTTCACAATCAAAATTTTATCTCTGTTCTCTTCATGATTGTTCTGCGGAAAATTTCCAGAAGTATCTGGCAAGCCTATAATATCTGCCTTCTTCATGTGGTCATTCTGAAAGTAAGGAGACTCCTTCCGAGGCTCAGAAAGTTCCTGATGTTGGGATCTTCTCTTCTTTTTGGATTTACTCTTTTCAGTTCCAATGCAAATCAACCACTTTCTCTTCTTTTCAGCATTATTGTTCTTCCTCTTGGACTTCTTTTCGACAATCAGAGTTTCTTCTTTCAGATTAGAGAGTGATGAAATAGACGGATACTCCATTCTCCTATAACGATAACATTCTAAACATTAAGCAGTTCAGAAGAGAATTTAGTTATTCAATGTCAACAAACTCACCATAGAATGAAAAAATCAAACAAAAAACTAAAGAAAGCAATATAACGAAACGGTTTCAGAGGGATGGGAGAAAGTAACTTACAGCGAAACGAGGGCTTTGAAAATAAGGGTTAGGGCAACAAGTAAAAGAGTGAAACTGAAGGAAGAAAGGCAAAGACTCTTCGATAAAGGCAAAATGATATATTTATTGACTATTGAGTTACCAGTACGACGGCGTATATGGACAATTATAAAACTTCTTTAATTTTCTGCTTTTAAATTCAATTCTTTCGTTTAATGTTTTGATTTATTTATCTTTTTTGCACTTTTCTTTTGTAAGGTAGGAAATCCAAGACGAGGATGGAAATGTCTGGCTTCATTTTCAATAATACTTTTCAGTAAAAAATACAATGTCACTAGTGATGAAGTAAATATTACTAATTGTAACGATCCAAAATTAATTTCAAATATAAAAACAAAATAATGGAGTCGTTATTAATTTTTTTATTTGGAAAAATTAAAAAAAATTTATTGCAAACTGGTCATTAAATTTTTAGATCAAGGTTCAAGAATTTAATTATGTACAGGGAATGATGAAAACTTAGGCTCTGTTTGATTATGGTTTTTAAAAACAATTTTTTAGTTTTCAGAAAAAAAAAAAAAAAAAAACTCATTTGGTAGCACATGTTTTGTAAAAAATGTTTTGAAAATTATAACTGTTTTTTTGTTTTTAGAATCAAATTTAGAGAATATGTCTGAGTTGTTTTTGTTTTCTGTTTTGGTTTTTAACTTTCAAAAAGAAAAAAATATAGAAAACAACTGTTTCCATAACTATTTTTCAAAACAGTTTTAAGAAAAAAAAAAAAAACCAGTACACAATCAAACAGGCCCTAATCTCATAGCATCCCTGACATATCCATTTTAAAAACAGTTACCTTTAAATTAATTGCATGAATTATTAATAGCTTTTAAAAATATTTGCTTCGTCCCTTAAAACATAAATATGATTACTTGGAATAAGAAAAAATATTATTAAAACTTTTATTTTATCTTGACTGAAAAAGTTTTGCTCTAGCGTATCCTTCGGTGAAGTGAGGAATTCAAAGCTACGTCATTCGTTTAGAAAATATTTGTGTGTTAATTGATTTTAATTTTGAAAATAATTCATTTGAAAGTTTGGGATCATCAAACTGTCACATTTAAAATAACCCAAAAAATAAATTACAGGACTAACAAGCTATCACAATACAGCTAATCCCTTTAAAAATAATTCTTTTTAGGGTTCGCTTTTTCTATAGTCAATGTAGATAACTTATCTACAGTGAGGCCAAAACGACGTCGTTTTGAGGCGAAAATCAAGGTATTTTTGTAATTATAATTTATTTCAGGGTTATAATAGTCTTTTTCATTATAATTTTTTAATTTTTAAACCCAAAACGACGTCGTTTTTTTTTTTTGGAAATAATAGGAAATTAAAACAAAAACACAACAAAAAGAAACTAGGCACAAAGCCTAGACCAGTGAACACCTATAGTGTCACCATACAGACTATCAATACAACCTGACGGTGGACAATCAAATTCCTGAATTACCCAAGAGAAACCATAAGAGTAAGAGCTAGAAAGTCTGCTACTCTATTTCCTTCACGGTGAATGTGAGACATATAAATCTGCCAATCTCGCTGCATTAAATTTCGAATACGATTCACCAAATTAGCCGCAGGGTAATCATGGTGGCACCCATTTGTAATGAGCTGTTGAGCTGAAAGAGAATCTCCTTCGAGCCAAACTTGCCTAAAACATCTATCCCAAGCTAGCTCCAAACCAACCAAGCAAGCCCATAACTCAGCATGCAAAACTGTACCTGAGCCTAAATTTTTACAGAATCCGACGATCCAAGTTCCTGAGGCATCGCGAAAAACTCCTCCACACCCAGTCCTAGTACCATTAGCATCACATGCACCATCAACATTAAGCTTAACCCAATCCACAGGAGGACAACACCAAGCAACCAATCTCTCTATTCGATTCCTTGGTTGATTGCCCGCTCCAAAAACAGGGTTAGCTGCAAGAGCGACACTATCTCTGAAACCAATTGCTGAACGGATAAGTGAATAAGCATTCTGGCGATCACCTTCAAAAACCCAAGAATTCCTACATTTCCAAATTTTCCAGGCTAAGATTCCAAATAAAAGAGGCCAGTCCGACCCCATCCCCCAATCCTTTGAGCTGTCTAAATTAGAAATGATCCAATTGTGCAGGTTGAGGTTGAAAAATTCACGCTGATTTATATGAGGCATTATCATGCACCATACTTCCTTTGATTGTGGACAGTCGCGAATAGTATGAAGGATAGTTTCACTAGACTGATTACATCTAGGACACAAATCTGAAAGAGCCATATGGCGGCGGAGTCTACAAACATTAGTCATCAGCTTCTCCCATGCCATTAACCAAAGAAAAAAGCGAATTCTTTCTGGCCCCTGCCATCTCCAAACACTTTCCCAAGGAAACTGTTGGATTGTAGTATCTTTGATGGCTAATATTGCATATGCTGACTTAACAGTAAACTTGCCATCTGTCGTTCCATTCCAAATTAAATGATCCTGGCCATCTTGACTAGAAGGAGGAAGAAAATTCATAAATCGATGCAACACAGAATCTGGAAGCAATTGTCGAAGAGAATTCCATTTCCATTGCCCCAATTCATCCACGTAATCCACCACCTTCTGAAGAGTATCACTAATAGAAAACTGAGAACCTGCATATGAGATCAAAGGACCACAATCGGGCAGCCAGCTATCAAGCCAGAACATAGTGGACTAACCATTGCCTAATTGCACCCGACTATGATCCATTATAATATTCCAATGACGCGTAATTCCCTTCCAAAGCTGGGAGCTGCTGTTTGGAGCATGAATAATTGGTGTCATGCCTGCCTCCACATTGTACTTAGCACGTAAGAACTTTGACCACAAGGCATCTGGATGAGCTACGAGGTTGAACCCAACCTTCATGATAAATGCTGAGTTCATTTCCCTCATATTCCGCAGTCCAAGGCCTCCATTTTTTTTATCCATGCAAATCTGCTTCCAGGCCACAAGATGAGAACGTCTAGAGTGTGGAGATGAACCCCAAACAAAATTTCGAATCTTCCTATCAATCTCTTCACAGGTGACTTGCGGTAATGAACACACCTGCATTGGATATGATGGGATTGCTAATAACACTGCTTTAGATAATGTAACACGACCTGCTAGAGATAGACTGGCATGATTCCAAGCAGCAATTCTAGAATTCATTCGATCCAAAACATAAGAGAAAGATGACCGACCCACTCGCTTATGATGCAAAGGAATTCCCAAGTATCTTCCAAGATCCGCAGTCAAAGAAAAACCAAGAAGCCCACTAAGATGGTTTGCTTGAGTATGACCCACATTCTGAGAAAAGAAAACTCTAGTCTTACTATGATTGACTTTTTGACCAGATGAATCACAAAATATATGTAAGGCCTGTTGAATTATTAACACTTGCTCCTGAGAAGCTTCTGCAAACAAAAGGAGATCGTCAGCAAAAAATAAGTGGGAAATTTGTGGAGCTCCCCTTTTAATCCTCACTGGCTTCCACCTCCTGTGATCCACTGCCTGAGAAATGAGATGGGCTAGTCTTTCCATGCAGAGGACAAAAAGATAAGGAGAAAGAGGATCTCCTTGTCTTAAGCCTCTAGTTGGCCGAAATTCTTTAGTACAAGCCCCATTCCAAAGAACATTCATAGTGCAAGATGAAACACACAACATAATTAGTCTTATCAAATTTTCAGGAAGCCCTACATCAAATAGGGTATCCTGAAGGAAATTCCAACTGATCCTATCGTATGCTTTCTCAAGATCAACCTTGATCGACATCCAACCTTTAGATCCTCTCTTTTTCCTCATTGAATGGATTAGCTCTTGAGCAATTATGACATTATCCGTACCTTGTCTACCTCTGATAAAACTGCACTGATTAGGCATCACCAGCTTGTCCATCTGCAATTTTAAACGATTAGCAACAATTTTTGTTACCGTTTTATAAATAACATTACACAAGCTAATCGGACGAAAATCCTTGAAAGTATGAGGATTCTCAAGTTTAGGAATCAAGCAAAGAAGAGTCTGATTCACTTCTTCTATACGACTAGGATCATTGAAGACTCCCTTAATGAAATTACAAACAGAGCTCTCCACTACATCCCATTGGCTTTGAAAAAATATGCTATGAAGACCATCAACACCAGGCGCTTTAAAAGGCCCCATTGAGAACACTACTCCTTTAATCTCTTGACTACTAGGGCAGCTCTCAAGAGCCATCATAACTCTCATTTCCATTTCTGGGAATTTGTTCCTAATGGGAAAATTAGGCCGGAGAGGAATATCTTCCTTATATAAATTATCATAGTATTCCACTGCCATACTCATGAGAAGAGAAGGGTCAGCAATCCAATCCCCGACATCATTTTGAAGGGCATCAATCCTATTCCTCCTACGCCTGGCAACTGTTGCTGAATGGAAGAATTTAGTATTACGGTCACCAAACCGAATCCAGTCAGTTCTAGATCTTTGGTACCATGTAATCTCTTCTCTAAGATAAATAGTATTTAACTGTTGCCAGATCTCTTTCTGCAGCCTCTCCAGAGAATGACAAGGATGTTGACTTAAGCTATAATCAATTCCACGGAGGCGAGAATGAAGATTATTTTTTAACTTCTCCTCCTCCTTGTAACAATCCTTATGCCAGGATGTGGCTTTCTCTCGAAAGTTTTCACTAGATGCTTTCCAATTGTGACCACCTGCCCAGCACCTCTTCACTAGATCAGAGAAAGAATTATGAGTCAACCAAGCCGCTAGAAAACGAAAAGGACGAGCCCCTCCATTACTAAAATTTGGTTGTCCATCCCAAAGAAGGATTGGACGATGGTCAGAGTTATAAAAAGGAAGGTGAGAGATAACTCTGTTCGGAAAAGACATGTTCCAGCTTTGATTTACACAAGCACGATCAAGTCTCTCCAAAAGATTACCTCTTCTCCAAGTAAAACTCGGACCTTGGTGCCCCAGATCACTAAGATGACAAGACATAAGACAATCTTGAAAATCCTGCATGCTCCTCCAATTGTGAACTGAACTCCCCCTCTTCTCCTCCGAGTGAATGTAAGTATTAAAATCACCCATAATGCACCATTCATTATTATTTTGCGGCTGAATATTCTCCAAAGCATCCCATAGAGCATGACGCTCTTGACGCCGAGGACTAGCATAAACAAAGGTGAAAAATTCATGCTTATGATAATTAAGCCAGCTTATCTTTGAATGAATAAATTGATGATCAGTATGCAGAACTTGGATATTCACTTCAGATGAATTCCAAAGAATCCATATGCCTCCTGAAAAACCAATCGGGTCAGAAATAAAAAAATTAGAGAACCCTAGGCTTTTAGCCACCTGCTTTGCACGCAGTCCACCAATACGGGTTTCCAAAAGCACTAAGATACAAATACGATATCTTCTTGTGAGGTCTTTTATTAGGGGGGGAAAGCCCTTTTTTCCAGCCCCTCTACAATTCCATGAAACAATATTCATAAAAAACAAATACAGAGAAGAAGAAAGAATGGTATGAACACCAATCATTGAGGAACAGTTTGCACACTTAAATCTCCCGAAATGGAAGCACCATCCGAATCCACCAAATTTTTATGAGCCTGATTGCCTAACACCGATTTAACCAAAGCCACCATCCGACGTCGTTTTGGGAGTGAATGTAGATAACTTATCTACATTCACTTTAGAAACATTAAATCCTTCTTTTTATTATGGTAAGTTTGACGATGAATTTAAATGAATTTTGAATCACCAAGTCGTCACGGCTAAAATGAGTCAAAATAAAATATGTGAAGTTAAGAAGCTGTCACGACTCATCTAATCAGATTCACGACTCAGCTAACTCTCATTTTAATTAATAGTTATTCTTTATTTTCTAAATTAACCCAAACCAATAATTATAAATAGAAACTATGATTGTTTGCTTGTTCATTTATTATTACTAAACGATTTAAAATCATCAGACTGTCCCAGTAAATGATTCAAAAAATAATAAAATTAACAAGTTGTCACGTGCTCACGGCTGAGCTCATCTTTTTATAAAATTAATTATTTTTTATATTATTATTATTATATTTGTTATTTATTATTACTATTATTATTATCATTTAACTTCTCCAACTTATACGTATATACTAAGCTCATGCTTTTACTAAGGGAAATGTACCATATTAGGATTTTAAAAGATTTTTTGGAGATAAATTATTTTATAGATTTTTAAAAAACTATTTAGAATTGGAGGGACTTTAAAGAATTTTTTAAAAGTATTTTTTTTACAATCAAGATTTTATAAGATTGGATTTTAAAGGATTTTAATAGAATTTATAATATTTTAAAGGATAATCTGAATTTATAAGATTTTAAAAAATCATATGAATTTTTAACAAACATTCAAAATTACAAGAGTCAATAAAAAATAAAAATGAAATGCAATGATAATAATAAAAAAAAGTAAAATCTAATATAATTTTCTCAATCAGTAAAACATAATATAATTTTTAAGAAACATTCAATATTACTAAGCAACAACTCTCCACATATCTAAAGTTATATTAGTCCTCCACGCATTAGCATTTTCTCGTTTGACCCAATGGGTTGAAAATTATCTTCTTCATTTGGTATCTGAGCTATGCATATATGATTATAAGATCCAATTTTTTTTATTTATTAAAGTAATTCTAAATTTGCATATAGAACCTAAAGTTCATGATAAAATTTCGTTTGCATTTTTTGCAATTGATCTTGGAAATCTTGAAGTTTTTGTTCTATGTGATGAGATTTTTTAACCATATATCATATGCATGTTTTCATTGAGTATTCTAAGAAAAATTTGAATATGAATTTCTAGATTTTATTATATGAAAGTTTAGAAAATTTCTCGAATTATTTTCAATTGATACATTGAAACCTTAAATTGCTTTGGGACTTTTGAAAAATAAGTTTTTAGTTATCTATTCACACAAAAATTGTTTGAAATCGTTTCCTATAGTGAAAGAGTTTCGTTTATGAATGTATTGTTACGAAATATATGGTTCATATTATGAAAGTTTTAATCTTTCTTTAAATTGATATTGTTTCATTGATGTAAAACAAAAATTGGTTTGAGGATTTTAGTTCCCTGTTATTTTCTCACTGTTTTTATTTTTAATACAAAAATCATACTTTTTTGTGCCAAGAAAAATTGCCACCCATAGCTTGATTTTTTTTTAAACTTCCAAAAACTCTAAAAAATTTGCTGTTTTGAGATGGATTATGTTGGAATCTTGTTGGTTAGTTGTTTTGTAATGATAATCACTTAAAAATCTGCATTTTTGAGTTTTGACGAAACTCTCATGGCGGAACCCGGTTTCGAGCGGGTCAACCTAATAAAAAAAGAAAAAGATACAGCAATAGAGAAATCTCAAGAAATCATAGGAGTTAGGATAAGATTGTGAAAGAGGCATCATATTTATATTTCTCATTAAAAAATATCACGAAATTCACACCAATAGAAAATTCATTAAAATCGTCAAATTTTTGAATACCACAAAATTGTTTTTTATTTGTTTAAAATCTTGATTGAATACCAACGAATTTGGACTAACTCTAAAATAATCTTTTAAAATACTAATCCAATATCACGTAACTTTTTTCAATAATTTAAAATTCTATTGGAATATCAATTGATTTTTTTGTCAAAAAATAATTTATTAAAATCCCAATCAACCTCTAAAGCGATCAAACAAAAGATAAAACGAGGCAATAAAAACGTAGCACATGCTGGAAACAAAAAAAATAAATAGAAAATATAGTATTATTTATTTATAATTAAAAGAAAGCCTCATTATTTTTATCTTTTACTTTCATCATTCGACTCCACATTCATGGCAAATAAATGAAAGACTTGGTTGCGTGCAAGGTTAGACAACATAATGTTCCTTATGGTTTCTTTATATTTTATATCATGATTGTTGAAACAGGACAATAAATGGATAAAGTCACACGAAAAAAAAAATGCTCCATGAAAAATATCGAAACATAGGCATGTTCTTATTCATAATAAATAAGATGGGATTAAAGTAAAAAATAAAATAAAAAACTGCATGCATTTCATATATGGGTTTATTAGTCTCCTTTTAAATAAGATAATTATCTTATGTTGTAAAGAGAAAATGAATGGATCCCACCATTAGAAGAAAAAAAGTTAAAATAAGAGAACATGAGAGAAGTTATCTTATGTGAAAGGAGAATAATATTTTCCTTAATATATATACATATAAGAAAACGCGAACCATGAAATATGAAAAAAATGAAGCTTCCGAGACAGTAAATGAAGCTTTTGAGACAGTGACATACACCCCCAACCAAAACCTGAAAGATACGTAAGTGTAACCAAACATACAAACATGTATAATAGCCATAGATCTTGTAACTCAATACACATGGGACAACAAGAGGCAAAATGTGAGTCTCGAGATGCTTGCTTCAAATCAAATGGGGCTTACATTACAAAAAGAAAGAAAGAAAAGAAAGATAAAGACAACCACTTGGTAGAAATATTGACCATCAAAAAAGTCTTTAAAATTCCTCCAATTCTAAATAGTCTTTTAAAGTCTATAAGATTTTTTATCTCAATTCTTTTTTAAATCCTAATTCAATACATCCCTCTTAAGTTTTCAAAAAAATTAAGAAGAATAAGAAGCTTTTATGGAGTAGCAACAGTCACAACTGGACAGCATAAGAGGAAAATTATGTGAAAGCGGAGATAACGTGCAAAAAGACAAGGTGTGAGACAGTTGAAGTGGCAGCGAGAGAGTGTAATGCGACCACGGATCGTGTAGAAGAGAAGATAGTTGAGTATATTGCAAACGAAAAAGTGAGAAATTGGAATATTGAAGTTAGGGTTGAAAATTAGCTACTAATAGGTTCACGATGATGCTCCCTCTCACGACGTCGTTTGGAGTAAATAAAAAGGGTTTAAGCCCAAAACAAATGGATATCCAATTATTATTTTTTGGATCAGTAAAGAAACTGTTATAGGAAATAAAAAGTGGTTTCACATCAAATCGATTTTTCTAAAAAGCTGTTTTTTAAACGAGGATGGTTATATTTATAATTTTTTTTATAAATTTATAAATTGCACTGTCTTATCGGTAAGGCTTCACTCAATAATGTCTTATCGGTAAGATATAATGTAGTTTATAAACAAATTTTTTTGTAAATATAATATTTTCTTTTTTAAATATGGACTGATTTAGATCTTTTGAACACCCCTAGTTTTGGACATACATTAGCAAAAAGTACACGAAAAAAGTTGTTGGGTCTCACATTCTCTTTTTTCTTTTTCTTTTTTGTGATTGTGTGTCTAGAATCAAGATTTGTATCTTACCATCAAAGAATACATCAAGGTGTTTGATATATGGGATTTTAAAATTTTCCCAGGAAAGAGACAATAGTATTTTGATTTTCCCATATATTTGGTAGAAGCAAAAGTAAACATTTGTCTAGGAAAGTTAAAATTCCATCATTTTATTTTACACATGTTGGTCCCGAATTTTCCCAATCGAAAAGACCATCCAAGAGGAGTGGCGGACCTAGAAGAAATTGTTTATGTCCGCACATTTAGCAGTTGCCCCCGATTTTTTTTTTGTTAAGGCAGTTTAGATTAACGCTTTATGTACAAGGTTATGAACTCGCTCATAATCTAGTTGCTTCTATAACAAACTGCAGGCAATAGTTTACCCAATCATTTTCCCTTCTAAATCTTACCAATCCTCCAAACAAATATGAGAATATACTCCAATGCATCCATACATCATCATTCTATTTTATAGTGGTGAATAAAAAAGTCAACACTACCGGTACAAAAGACAAGCGAAATCACAGTGAAGGTCTCGTCTGTAGAGATTAACTTATTTGAGAATGTCAGACGTGCAATCAATCCTCTCTTTTTATAAAAATGAAAAAGAAAATAAAGGATGAAGAGAGCATGAGAATGGGTACGTGACAGGGGAGGAAGAATAAGTTTTCTCTCTAATCAATTTGCATTGCTACATTATTTTAATCATCTATGTACGTTGCTAACTAATATAAGAGTAAATACTCTTTTTGGTCACTAACAAAAAATTCAATCTCACTTTAATCCCTTACAAAAAAATTAGTGACCTAGTCCCTATGAAATTCAAAGTGAACACATTTTAGTCATTTTGAGTGACTAATGTAGATCTTTTTTGAATTTGTGAGGGACCACGATTTTAACTAAATTGATCCACTTTGAATTTCTTAGGAACCTCGAGACTAAATTTTTTTATAAAAAATAAAGTGAGGACCGTATTTTTTATTAAGGACTTAAAAGGATATTTATTCCTAATATAAATATTGAACCAAGAAAAAAAATTCATAATATTCATGTCCGCACTTGCGGACATGTGCTACAACCTGCGTCCGCCACTGTCCAAGAGGTTGTATTTGACAAAT